GGTGGTTTCCAGCTACTTCTCTGAGACTTTCAGCTTCATGGTCTTTCTCCTCTCTTTCTGGAACTTTGAGGACACTAGTGCTAGATCTGTTACAGTCTTACAAGTCCCTAAGGCTCTGCTCATTTACTTTCAGTCTACCTTCTCTGTTGTTCAGACTGAGTGCATTCTATTGTTTCATCTTCCAGTCCACTGATTCTTTCCTCTGTCACTCCATCCTGCCACTGAACTCAATCACTATGCAGTGTATTTTAATTTTTTTCAGCTCTAAAATTCCAATTTGTTTTTTATATCTTCTATTTCTTTGCTGAGAATTTCTATTTCTTTACTGAGGTTATTTTTTATGTGTTTCATTATGTTGATAATTGCTTGTTGAAGCATTTTTGGCATGGCTCTATAAAGCCTGTCAGATAATTCTAACATGTCTTATCTCAATGGTGACATCTATTAGTTGTCTTTTTGTTCAATTGAGATCTTCCTGATTCTTGGTATAATGAGTACATTTTTATTGAACCTGGATGTTTTCATACTATGTTTCATATTATGAGACTGGATTTTATTTAAACCTTCAGTTTTTGCTAGCATTCTACAATACTGCTCTGGCCCCTTTACTGTCAAGTGGAGGCAGAAGTCCAGTTTCTCCACTCAGCAACCATTAATACCTAAGGGTGGGGAGCTCCTGTTATGGCTGGGTGTTCCAGCTTCCCATGTGGTCTCAACAGATGTCACAGTACTGGTGACCTGGTTACCATTTGATCATGGTGAAAGCACTGACTTTCTAGAGGCTTCCTGTGACACTACCCTAGTGGGGTAAAGGACGCTGCTGGGTGAGGAAAGAAATTCAGGATTCTCATGTGTTCTCCACTGACATCACAGAGAGTGAACACATAACTGGCTAGCTAGGATGAAAATCATGACTCCCTACTTGGTCATCACTGATACCACCCCAGTGGAGGTGTGGACTGGGTGGGGTAGCATTTTACAGATTGGCTGTAAGTCTAGTCTCCCCATACAGTCTTTGCTGGCATGGATGGGGGTAGGGAACAGTTTCTTCTGTGATATTTTTCTGGACTAGAGAGACTGCAGTCTACAAGTCTTCTGTCTTGCCAGGCTGTCCCTTTCTTGAGAGGGATCAGGCTTTAATTGAGGTTTTTAATGTCTGTGTCCACTGGTGTTTCCAGGTTGCCAGTGTCTTCACCTCTAGGTCTGCATTATTTCAGGCAAGAAGGAAATTCAGGTAACTCATCACTGTGTTGTCTTTTGGGTCCATCTGTCTTCTTCTTTTCACCTTTCAGAGTCTTCTTATGTGTCTTTTACACATAGTGACCCGTACTGTAGTTGTACTTAGAGGAAGACGGAAAAGTACATCTACTCCATCTTCCCAGAAGAAGCTCCTAAGTAAATTTTTAAACAGTGATATATACTACTTTAAATAACTTTAAAAAATAAATAATACATAAATTCACGGAATAATATACAATTGTTTTTTTAAAAATAGGTAATGCTATTGCAGTGATACAGAGTGACTGCTAAAATATATTAAGTGACAAAAGGTATACATGATCTGTAGAGGATGCTATGAGTGCAAAAACAGAATTCAAAATACATACACCCATGTATACACTAGTACATGCATCATGTATCACTGGAACATTATATAAGAAACTCATAATGCTAGATGTCCTTGGGAAAGAAAAATGAAAGACTAGGGCGAAAAGCAGGGAATAAGAAGGGGACTAAATTTTTGCATTTTTGCATATGTTACCTTTCCAAAAGAACAAGTAAGTAATGTTTTTAAATAATAAATTTTACCTTGAAAAGTAAGCAGGCAAGACCTGAAAATCCTGCAGATGACTAATAAGAAATTTATGTAGTTAAAATTTTTAAATGCTACACACTGTAATAGCAGAAGAATTAATAAATAGTTCAGGAGACTAGAACAGAACAGAAAACTAATTGTAGGAACTAGAACACGAGCTAGTACAGATTAATAACTACTTTTAAAGTGAATTTTAGATCCTGGAGTAATGGCGGGCTAGGTACCTGGATCAATCTTCCTACTAAAAACTAGCAGGCAAAAGGAAACTAGCCACAGCATCTTGGATCACCCCACCTCAGGGCACAGGTCCTCAGGTGAGTTCCTCCAGTTGCCCCAGATGAATTTATTCCCTTCATTTCTAGGAAGATGCAATGAGGGAGATAAACACTAAAGAACTGACATGGCACAACAAAAAAACAAGTGCTAGGTTGAGAGTTCTGGGTTGGAATCTCTGTTCCACTCCCTGGAACTGTGTAATCTCGGGTAATTTACATATCCTCATCTACCTGGGCAGTCACTCTCAGGGTTACAGCTAGAATTAAGCAGGAATGTGTGTAAAGGTTTGGCCTGATGCCTGGCACCCAACACTTGTTCAGCAATTATTAATGGACTCATTAACAGACACTAGTGGAGCCAAGAGGTTACTCTCAAGAATATCCACCATCCTTGCTTAGTTATCTAGGGAATTTTATTTAATCAAGCTATACCTCAGAATGTCGGTGAAAACCAAGCTGCTGAGCCTCAAGTCACCTGCCCATCAGTTAAATACAATTAAGAAAGCAAGTCTCTTATCAAGTTCAATATGATACAAATTGTTGTCTATATTCACTAACATCAAACTTGCTAAGAGACTACAACTTAATGATTTCCACCACTAAAAAAGAAAGGATAACTATGCAACACGACAGAGGTGCTAATAATCACTACATTGGCTATTAAAATATATAAATGTATCAAATTAACATGCTATACACCTTAAATATGCACAATGTTACATGTTTCAATTAAATAAATTAGAAAGCAAGTCTCTCCCCCTAATGGTCTGGATCTCAAAGAGTCCCATAGGAAGAAGTCAAAGCAAATACTTAAAGTGACCTTTATATTCAGTATTAATAATTCAGAAACTCAAGAACATTTTTATGGACACACCCGAGAAATCCCCATCTTCTGTAAATAGACCATAGTGGCAGAACTTCTGTCACACCAATAAAGGCTCAAAGCCTGATTGATAGGCTTGAGATTAATGAAGAGAGAGACATAAACAGCATTTCCAAAAGCAAATTACCAGTCACTGTTTCTTTAATTTACCAGAACATATATAAACCATTTCTACACCAGAGGGCAGGAAGGCTGACTATGATACACTGGACAGTTACATTAGCACTATTCAATGGGGATTGGGGAATGCAGAGGGGTGTGTGCAGTGGGAGAGGAAGGGCATGGGGTGGGCATGTGTCATGGGGAAACACCTGTATGAATATATGAGCTTGCAGGTAGTTTGCTAACATAATATCTCCTAAAAATTACCAGCTGATTTCATCATAAAAACCAGAACACAATGAAACTCAGCTAAAAAGCCCCCAAATGAACAGTTTATTAAGCAAAAATATATAATCATTGCAATATTCTGAGGCAACACTGATAACCAAGACACATTCAAAAAAAGCAAAGGTCATCCTTGACATAAGCACACCAATTAAGTGAACTTTTAGTTAATTCAAATTTCGATTTCGAGGAATAATCAAAGTCAAGGAGCTTTTAAATTATATTCTAAAGCAGGATACAGTAATCAGATAAAAGGATGAAGGGGAACTTTGAGGGCAGGTTATTGATGTCTCTAACCCAGATCTGGAGATCACAGGTAAGCCTTGCCCATTTTATACTAGATACAAATACCAA